GGGAGCAGAAAGCCTCCTCCTTCTCCACTGGTTCGCAATCCAGTGCTTGTCGTATGGAGCCCCCACGCTCACATGAACACTGGAATTTGTTCGTTCATTCATTTGTTGATGGGCATTTAGGTTGTTTCTACCTTAGGACTATGGTAAACAGTGTCATTATGAACATGCGAGTATATAATATACTTATGTGAGAACCTGTTTTCAGTTCTTTCAGGGAATTTCTAGAGTAGAATTGTTAGGTCATATGTAAAAGAACCAATAGATCTGTGTTGGAAGAGTGCAGCCAGAGTGCTCCTTAGAGGCCAAGATGGCCAAACTTCATCTCTCATATTTCAGACATATTGTCAGGAGGGACTAGTCGCTGGAGAAGGATATCATGTTTGGTAAGGTGGAGGGTCAGCAAAAAAGAGGAAGACCCTGAGCGAGATGGACTGGCAAAGTGGCAGCATCAATGGGCTCAAGTGTGGCAACAATTGTGAGGATGGCCCTGGACTGGGCAGTGTTTCATTCTGCTGTGCATAGGGTTGCTATGAGTCAGTACCGACTCGATGGCACCTAACAACAACAACATGTGAGTTCTATGTTAAATCTCAGGGGATGAACCATTTTACATTCTTACCAGCGATGTTCAAATGTTCTCATTTCACCACATCCTTGCCAACACTTATTCTCTGATTTGTTTTGATTTTGATAGTACTAACCTAGTGTATTTGAAATAGCTCTTCATCGTGACTTTGATTTGCATTTCTCCAGTGACTAATGCTGTTGAGCATCTTTTCATGTACTTGTTGACTATTTGTACATCTTGTTTGTTTTTTTGTATTTTTTTGAGAAATGTCAATTCAAGTGTTTTATCCATTAAAAAAAAAAAAAAGATTTGTTTGCCTGATTATATTTTAAATGGCAAACACTGCTAGAATATTTTGTAATGGAGTGTCAATATTTAGGCATTCTTAAAATATTGATGCTCCCATTTATAATAGTAATGATCCAGCTTTCTCCACTTTACCTCTGTCCTAAGTTACCAGCTCTAAAATAATGTGGAGTTTCTATTGGAAAAATAAATCAAACTTGTTGAATCCAGTGGCTTTCCAAGACATGACAGTTAGGGACTTTTAACACACCACATTATAGTGTTCAAACATTTACTATTCTAGATGCTGGAGACAAACAGATGAATGAGATGTAGTCTTTGCTCATGAGAAGCATTTGACTTGGTGGCAGGGAAGCATAGAGGTGATAATATCCATGTAATTAAGGCATTAAGGGGCTCTGAAGGGTCTCACAATCACAGCAGCCATTACTGTGGAGAGAAGAGGAAAGGTCAGGGATGACTTCAATAAGAAAGTGACCCTAGGGCTTGATTATGAAAGTCAGGTTGGTGTCCACCCACATGGAAGACAGGTAAGAAAAGTTGTTCAACGAGTAACTTGAAGAGCCTGGATTTGCAACTACTAAACCAAAGCGCTTGAGTTTTGGAGTCAACAGATCTGAGCTGAAGTCTTAGGCATACCACAATTCACTGGAAGAACTCCAGCTTACCCTCTCTGAGCATCAATTTCCCTCAATTATAAAATGAGGCGAATGGAATCTACAGTCCAAGGATGAGATGCAACCACATACACGGGGTGTCTCATTGTTGGTCTTACTCCAAGTCTTATGGGGTGTTCCAATGCTTTCCTTCCATGGAGAGAAGCCCCAGGGCTTAGGTTTCTCAACAAGGATCTCAAAACAAAACCATTATTTCCCTGTTTTGAGTTGGGGGAACGTGAGGAAGACCTAAGAAGAATGAACACATTAGGACTATGTATTGGCAAAGAACATTGAATGGACCATGGATTGACAGAAGAACAAACAAATTAGTCTTGGAGGAAATACAACCAGAATACTTCTTAGAAACAAGGCTGGTGAGACACTGTCTCCTTTACTGTGGACATGTTATCAGGAGGGATCAATCACTGAAGAAAGATTTCAGATTTAGTAAAGGGTCAGCTCAAAAAGACCCTCCATGAAATGGATTGGCACAGAGGCAGCAACGAAGGGCTTAAACATACCAAGTGTGAAGATGGTGCATGACCAGGCAAAGTTTTATTCTGGTGTACTTAAGATTGGTGTGGGTTGGAGATCTCTTGATGGCCACTAACAACAAATGGAGTGGATCATTGAGCTTGCCTTACAGGGTCATTGAGAAGTTTAAACACGTACATCATCCAAACCACTTAGACTAATACTCACGCATTGTGGGAGTCTAGTGAGTGTCAGGTGTTGTTATTTTATCATCCTTTCTTTATAATGAGACTAGACAATGTCCATGGAAGAGATGACCCAAAATGGTTGAAATGTACTAATACATGAAATATGATGCCCTGTAACCATATTGCATAAAATACTCAGATACTTGTTTATTTGTAGTTAAATGACCACTTAAGTTTGAAAACAATAAAATTAGTTTTGTTTTGTTTTTTACTTTTTATTGTGGCTTGAGTGGAGGTTTATGGAGCCGATCACTAGTTTTCCGTTCAACAAATCATATACTTTGTTTCATTTTGATGATTGCAATCCCCTTCCATGGAACATCATCTATCCTTCTTCTTCCTGTGACTCTTTTCTTCATTCTGCCTTCTTTCCCAGCCATTCTGAATTTAGGTCAATGATGCTCTTTCCATCTTGAATGGTTGGTCATTCTATGGTGTGCACACCTCACTGGCGTTGTTGCCCTCTCTATTTACCTATCGATTGGCTGAAAATCGAGCCATGAGGGTGAGTTCAGTTCCAGACCTGAAGGGCGGCCAAGAGTCTTAGGTTCCTCCAGTCTCTCTGACCAGTAAGTCTGGGCTTTTTTATATTTTTGAGTTTTGTTCTACATTTTCTCCCACTCTATCCAAGACCTTTCAGAACAGTTGCAAAAATGTAGCTCTTGTGCTATTATTCCCTCTTCTGGGCTCACAGCAAGAAGACAAACCAACCGTCATCCAGTTTGACTCACGGTATCCATGTGTTTCAGCAGAAGAATTGTGCTCCGTATGGTTGTCAATGGCTGTGATCTTTAAGAAGCAGATCACCAGGCTTTTCTTCCAAGGTACTTCTGGGTGGATTTGAACCACCAATCTTTCCACTACTAGCCTAATGCTTAACTGTTTGTGCCACCCAGCGCCTGCCTCAGACACTCCTAATTGATCCCATGATGCTTTTCTGTAGAACGTGTTCTTTGTTGCTGTTGAGTTGGTTCTGACTGCTGGCCACTTTCTGTATGGACCAAGCAACATGCTCCCTGTCCTGCCCCAACTCCACAGTCCTCGACATATCTGAGTCCATTGTTCCCGTGATTGTACCATTTCATCTCAGGAAGGGTTTCCTTGGTTTTGCTGACCTACTACCAAACAGGATGCCATTTTCTAGTGACTAGTGTTTCCTGGTAACATGTGCAAAGCCAGGGAGTGGCTTTTTTTTTTTTTTACAAAACAGAAATCTTTACTCAATGGAAATATCAAAATGGAAAGTTACTGTTTCTGAATGTATGTCCATGCATATTCATCATTCTCGCTTTTAAGGAGCATTCTGTTTGTATTTCTTCTAAGACTGATTTGTTCTTCTGGCAAGCCACAGTAGATTTAATATTCTTTGCCACTCCCACAGTTTGAATGCATTATTCTTCAGTCTTCCTTTTCCATTGCCCAAATTTCACATGCATATGAGGCGATTGAGAAGACCACAGCTTGGGTCAGGCACACCTTAGTCATCAAAGTGACACCTTTGCTATTTAAAACTTTTATAAAGAGGTATTTTGTAGCAGATTTGCCCAATGCAATAGGTCTTTCTGCAGAACACAGACATAGCTACAGAATCTCTTATCACACAGAGCACTAATGAGTGTTAACCACTGTGATCATCTCAGTTCAGAGCCAAAGAGAGCCAGGCTGATGACCAGTTGCTTTGCTCAATTCAGTGATTTTTTTCTCACTCAGCCAAAACCTTGGCTAGCTCTGTGACAAATGCATACATTATTCCATCATTCAACCAATAACTTTTTGAAAGAAAGGTTTGAAAACCCAGTTCCCCATCTGGACACACCTGAGAGTCCTTGGCCTTCTGATGAGCCCTCTGTGCATGTTGGATGCAGATAAGAGATGAGCTGCCAGAATACCTTCACTCTCAAGTTGACTCTAGCTCCTGGTGACCGAGTGGGTATCAGAGCAGAACTGTGCTTCATAGGCTGATTTGTCAGAAGTAGACCACCAAACCTTTTCTTTGAGGTACCTTTGGATGAACTCGAGCCTCCAAAGTTTTGATTAGCAGCCATATGGTACTCATGGTCAGGGAAACACCCACCTCCTCCCAACACATCCCAACCTGTCCTAATGCCTTTCTTGTTTTCTCTCTCTTCTCTCTTACAGGGAAATATAAATGAGAAGCTGGGAATTTGCTCCATGGCCAAATTTTTCCGTTTTTTTCAAGATTGCATGATCATAAGGAACGATCCTAAGCTTGTGGTAACCAACCTGCGTTATGGGACAGTACCAGTCAGACTGTTCCAGCCCAAGGCAGCCTCCTTCAGACCCCGGCGGGGCGTCATCTTCTACCATGGAGGGGGCGGGATCCTTGGGAGCCTGGGTAAGGCGTGTCCATATGGCTTTGTAAAGGAAGGGGCTCATCTACACTGACTCCCACGAGAACCTTTTGGGAGTAACTCAAAGGAATCAGAAGGTGATTCTTTACAAGGAGTCCAGAGTGAAGATTTTGGGTGCAAGTCAGCAAACAGTGTTCAAATCTACAGGGCAAATCAGTGTTTTCAAACCCACCAGCTGCTCCCTGGGAGAAAGATGAGGTTTTCTGCTCCCATAAAGAATTATAGCCTTGGGAACCCTATACAGGGTCGCTGTGAGTCAGAATTGAATTGATGGCAGTAGGTGTTATAATGTGGTGGTCAGGGTTGTTAAGTGCCACTGAGTCAGTTTCAACTCACAGGTACCCTGTTTATACAGGTGGGTTTGAACTGCCAACCTTGCGGTTAGTTGTCCAATGTTGATCCTACAGTGCCACACCAGGACTCCATATAATATGGTTATTGTTGTTGTTGATAAGTGCTGTTGAGGAGTTGGTTCCAATACATAGTGACCCTGTATGGGGTTTCCTAGGCATGGCTGGTGAGCTTGAACCACCGACCTTGAGGTTCAAACCGACCTCGCATCCCAGCACATTAAACCACAGCACCGTACCAGAACTCTTTATATAATATGGTAATTTTGATTACAGTGAAGGCAGTGTCATGGTGTCATGGGGGATTTTCATGACACTGGGGGTTAACTCCTGTCTTCTCCCTCCCCACTCAACCATCAGCTAGTTGGTCCTGAATGTCCTACCCCTCAACTATAGCCCAATCCGTACATCTCTTTCCAGTTCAGCTGTGCCACTGTGGCCCAAGCCAGCACCTTCCAACACCACAACTGGTCTCCCTGCCTCACCTCTTAATCTCTCAGTGTATTCTGCACCCAGAAGCCAGAGGGCTTGCAAAAACACAAGCCAAAGCATGGCATTCCCATGGCACAGTCCTTTTGTGGCTTTCCAAGGCCCTTAGATAAAATCCAAACACCTCCCCACAGCCTCTGATGTTCTGAAGGAGCTGGTTCCGCTGACCTCGCTGGCCTGGTCACCTGCCATTTCTCCTTCATTCCCTCTGCCCAGTCACACTCACTGTTTCTCAGTGTCTCCAATACCCAGGCTCACCCCACCTTGAGTCTTCTGTGCTTGCTATGTTCTTGGCCTCAAAAACTGTCCTCCAGACTTTGCATGGCTGGCTACCAATGATTTTTCCAGGCTTCTCTGAAATGTCCTTCCTCAGCCTCGCACACTCCCTGCCTGGTCTATCATCCCACCCTGCCCCCCATCTCCATCCCCAACATTATCCTGTTAAATTTTCCTCATAGCACTTGGAGTCCCCTGGTGTGGTGCTGTAGGATAAGCACACAAGGTTGGCAGTTCAAGCCCACCAGCCACTCCTCAGAAATGCTACCCAGGGTTGCTATGAGTTGGAATCGACTTGACGGCACTTAACAACAACATAGTGCATGCCAATCTGAACTTGTCTTGTTCCTTTGTGGGTTTCCATGTTTATTGTGTGTCTTCCCCACTAAAAATGGAAATGTCAAGAGTACAGGAGATCCCATCATTCAGTTCACAATAAAAACTAACCCCCCCCCCAAAACGCCCCCCCCAAAACAGTGCATTGAAAAGCGAACAAAAGAAATGGGATTCACTTAGAATGAAAGGCAGAATTGGTAACATGTTTATCTGGACTTACATTTGAACTATCTATCAACCCAGAAATATTAATTAATATAAGCACAAAAATGCAAGTCTATAAACAATCCTACCTGCCATATATTTACCACTTATTCCTTTTATTATTGTCTAGAATCAGAAAAGTTTACCTAAATAACCTATCAATCTTTTTAATGGGACTTTAGTATTATGGCATTCAAATCTGAGAAATCTCTACTAATAACTATGAGAGTCTCAACTTTTTCCACAACTCATGCTTGTGGAAATTAATTATGCAAGATGATAATAAGAGAAAAATGCCTATTTGAAAATAAAACAAGAAAGCAAGCAAGCAAGCAAGCAAGCAAAAAGAATACAGGAGAGACTTCTGCTGTTCCATTGCTGTGGCCCCATTGTTCAGTATCGGACCCATTGCTTTTGCTTTTGGAAAGAATGAATGCATACATGAATAGGTGGATGGGGAAACAATTGGATGGAAGAACGGGTTTATGGGAAAATAATGGATGATGGTGGGTAGATGGTTGGATGAATAAATGGATAGATTTATACGTAAATGATTGAACGAAGGAATGGATTTATGCATATTTTCATTTACAGTTGCGCTTGACCTAGGGGTATATTACCTAGCCATGTGCTGTTATTGTTAAGTTATGTGGACTTGGTTCCTATTCATAGCGACCCAGATTAAGGTTTCTGGTGGGTTTGAGTTGCTAACCTTGTAGTTAGCAATCCAGTACCTGTTCTCCAGCATCACACACATGTAAATATAAGCATATATGCAATGCCACTGAGACTCCTTCTGTTTCCAGGTAAGGATGTATCAGGTTTTTTCAGACACTGTGTTCTAATTAGTTGATCCCTAATTGTTAAACATTTTAAATACCATCCCTCATATGCCTGTATCCATACACGTTGTTATTGTTGTGAGGCGCCATTAAGTCAGTTCCAACTCATAGCGACCCTGTATAGGGTTTCTGAGGAGTGATTGGTGAGCTTGAACTGCGGATTTTGCAGTTTAAACCGATTTTGCAGTCCAGCGCATTAGCCCACGGCGCCCACCAGGACTCCATATACATACTACACAGGAATTGCTTTCTTGATCTTTTTTCCAAAAAAAGCTAAGAAAGCTTTTTTGTGTGTGCTGTTGTTAGCAGTTATACACACAATTTACCAGAAAAATGAAACGGATGGGGGGAAAATAATGGGTTTACAGATGAATGAATGAGTAGATTGGGGTTTTTCCCTTTTTGTAATTTTCCTGAGATTAAAGTATACTGCCACCTGGTGGTAGATATAACAATGGTCATTTTATAGCCGAGTTTAAGGAGCTCTGGTAGCATGGTGGTGGTGTGCCGTGAAGTCGGTTCCGACTCATAGCGACCCTGTGTAGGGTTTCCGAGGCTGCAAATCTTCATGGGACAAGAAAGCCTCATCTTTCTTCCATGGAACTGCTGGTAGTTTCAAACTACTGACTTTGAGATTAGCAGCCGGACTCATAACCACTCCGATACCAGAGCAGTTGTTGTTGTGAAGTGCTGTCGAGTCGGTTCCGACCCATAGCGACCCTTATAGGGTTTTTGAGAAGCATCTGGTGAGCTTGAACTGCTGACCTTGCAGTTCAAACTACTTTGCAGTCTGACGCATTAACTCATAGCGCCACACCAGGACTCACTATTGAATCATAAGAATCTTGTCCCCATCTCCTTTCCCCAGACCCATCTAGACAAGATGAAAATTATTCAGTGCGGACTCTACATTTCTCTGTGCACTCTGAAACAAAACTCCCTCTTGAAAACGTGTAAGCCAGCTACTTCGTGCTCCACTCTGGAGATTTTGATTTACCTGGTTGGGATCCAACCTGGGCATCAGGACCTGTAAAATCTCCCTATTGCTTCTGCATACCACCAAAGTTGAGAACTACCAAACTGGAGAGGTATTTATTTGGCCCACGTTCTGTGTCTGGAACTGTGCCAGGATGGCTCATGGACCAGCCTTCTGAGAACTTCATATTTACCAGTCTATCAATAGGAACAAGGAGCTCTGGTAGCGTAGTGGTTACGAATTGGGTTACTAACCTCAAGGTCAACAGTTTGAAACTACCAGCTGTTCTGTGGGAGAAAGATGAGGCGTTCTGCTCCCGTAAAGACTTATAGCTTCGGAAACCCTGTACAGGGTCGCTATGAGTTGAAACTGACTCCACGGCACACCACCACCACCACCACCAATAGGGGCATTGCATCAAACTGCTGTTTATTTGTTAATATATATGTGTGTGGTGATATATAATGCACAGCTCTCTCTCTCTCTCATTTATCTATGTCTATAGGAGCCCTTGGGTGGCACAAATAATTAACTACTAACTGAAAGGTTGGCAGTTCAAACCCACCCAAGGGTTCCTCAGAAGAAAGGAGTAGAGATCTGCTTCCTAAAGGTCACAGCCTTGAAAAGCCTGTGAAGTTCGGTTTGACCCTGATACACATGGAATTGCTCTGAGTCAGAATGATCCCCACACAGTGGGTTTTATATATCCAGGTATATATTTGTTGTTTTATGTCCTTAAGTCTATTTTGAAGCATACTGATCCAATGAGACAGAGTAGAATGATCCCAGAGGGTCTTCTAGGCTATAATCTTCACAGAAGCAGGTTAGCAGGTCTTTCTCCCTCAAAGTGACTGCGCAGTTTTGAACCACCAGTGACACCAGGGTTACACACACACACCACACACACACTTGCCATTAATTCAACCTTGATTGCCAGCTCATGGTGACCCCATATGTTTCAGAGTAGAACTATGCTCATAGGGTTTTCAGTGGCTGATTTTTCAGAAGTAGATTGCCAGACCTTTCTTCTGAAGCACCTCTGGGTGAACTGGAACCACTAACGTTTCTTAGCAACCAAACACATGAAGCTTTTGGACCACCCAGGAGCTCTAGTATTATATACCATCGTCTTGGCTCTGTTGGTGTCCACCACCAAGCCTTCCTCGTCTTCAGTTTCCCTCACAGCAAAAAAAAGAAAGAAAAAGAAAAAAGGGTGGGAGTTGTAGGTAAACCCTACTACCTACTACAAGATAGTACGTAAATGTTACTACAAGATCCAGCATTCAGGTGATCAAGGGCAGATGCCAGGTGTCCAGCTTGTCTCCAAGTCTTTGGCTTTGCCCAGGCAGAGCTACCAGCAGGGAGTTCAGAGAGGTAAGACCAGGAACAACACCCACATGCCATGCCAACATGTGTGGGCACCGTGGGCTGCCTCTTCCTGGGGCCTGTGACAGGCTCCTCATCTGGCACTATGAACGGTTTTGTCTTGCAGATGCTTACCACAGCCTGTGCAGTTTCCTGGCCCGAGAGACAGACTCGGTGGTGCTGTCAGTTGGGTGAGTGACGGGAGAAGTCGGTGGGGGTGAGTAAGGATCCTGTATAGAACAGAGGGAGCCACTCCGGGCTCCAGATGGGCTCTTGCACCTGCAGCCCTGGACACAGGCACAGCACTGTCCACATAGCAGAAACCTGGAAACCACCCGGACACCCATCAACAGGGCGGTGGAGGAAGAAACCATGGCATATCTCATATTACACCGTCCCTGTGTGGCGCTGTGGGGTAAGCACTGGACCTCAAGGTTGGTGGTTCAATCCCACCAGGTGCTCCTCGGAAACCCTATGCAGGGTCACTATGAGTCAGAACCAACTCGACAGCACTTAACAACAACAAAACTATGTATTAACAAAAATAAACTTGAAGGGCACACTGGAATTATCCAGTTGTTACCATGTCTGTTCTGACGCACAGCAGCCTCATGTGTGTCGGAGTAGAACTGTGTTCCACAGGGTTTTCAAGGACTGCCGTTTCTTATTTTTAGAAGTAGATCACCAGGACTTTCTTCTGAGGTGCCTCTAGGTGGACTGGAACCTCCAATATTTCATTTAGTAGCTGAGCCCGTTTACCATCTGCACTACCCAGGGATTCTGAATGAATCATTGCAGTAATGGATTAAGTGGGGCATTTTTTCCCCCCAAAACATATATAAAGCTGATAGTCTTTTTATAAAGTTAAAAACAAGGAAAATTAAAAGAATACTTTTTAGGAATTCTTTTAATGTAGATACAGTAAAACTATGCAAACAAGGAAAGAAAAAGAATCATAACTGAATGATTTAGGGTGACGGTTCCGTCAGATGGGGCAGGCGGAGAGATGGGATGTGGGAGACTGAGTGGTGGGGTGAAGATTATTGGAGGCCTTGGCTGTTGTTTTGGTTGGTTGGTTATACGCCGTGGAGTCGGTTCTGACTCATAGTGACCCTGTACAGGGTTTCCGAGGCTGTAAATCTTTATGGGAGCAGAAAGCTTCATCTTTCTCCCACGGAACAGCTGGTAGTTTCAAACTGCTGACCTTGAGGTTTGCAGTCCAATTCATAACCACTATGCTACCAGTGGCTGTTGTTTAGAGGGGATGTATTATTTAAAATACCTGACTCACTAATGCTAGCTATGCAGGACTGACACCAAGAGCCCTTTGGGGCTAAAGAAGAGTGAGGGACCTGTGGATTGGAAAGAAGAGGCAGTAGGACCATGTCCTGTGATTTGAGTTACTACTTCAAGATATCACACATCACTGGGTTGTTGTTGTTAGGTGCCATCGAGTCAGTTCCAACTCATAGTGACCCTATGCACAACAGAATGAAACACTGCCCAGTCCTGGGCTAACCTCACAATTGTTGCTACATTTAAGCCCATTGATGCTGCCACTTGGCCAATCCATCTCGCTAGGGGTCTTCCTCATTTTTGCTGACCCTCCACTTTACCAAACATGATATCCTTCTCCAGAGACTGGTCCCTCCTGACACTATGTCCAAAGCACGAGAGATGAAGTCTGGCCATCCTGACTTCCAGGGAGCACTCTGGCTGCGCTTCTTCCAACACAGAACTATTTGTTCTTTTGGCAGTCCATGGTACTTTCAATACTCTCCTCCAACACTGTAACTCAAAAGCATCAATTCTTCTACGGTCTTCCTTATTCACTGTGCAGCTTTCACATGCATATGAGGTTATTGAAAATACCATGGCTTGGGTCAGGCGCACCTTAGTCCTCACGCTGACATTTTTGCTCTTCAACACTTTCAAAAGTTCCTGTGCAGCAGACTTGCCCAGTGCAATGTGTCTTTTGACTTCTTGACTGCTGCTTCCATGAATGTTGATGGTTTATCTGAGCAAAATGAAGTCTTTGCTAACTCTCTCACATCACTGGGTAGTAGCTTGGAAATGGCAAGGAAGAGAAATTAAAAACAGCATCTGTAGCCTCTACCTCCACAATTAGCTCCCTCACATCTTGTCTGTCCCCAGGTTGGGTAGCTGTGTGACCCAAAGCAAGTAATTTAGACTCTCTGGTACTCTCTAATGAGAAGGAAGAAGATGGTATCTTCCAAGTGCTTACTGACGAACACCCTACCTAACTTACTATTGTGATGAACTGATATCGGAGCTGCCTTCAGACTCTATCTCTGAAGGCCTGTGTGATGATAAAATATCCCTTGAGAAGGTATCACAGTCAGGTGTTCACAAGCATCTACATTAAACACTTGATAGGAGTCCTGGTATGACGCTGTGTGTTACCGCGCTGGACTGTATTGTTGGGCTGAACTACAAGGTTGGCGGTTCAAGCTCACCAGCCACTCCTTGGAAACCCTATACAGAGTCATTGTGAGTCAGAACTGACTCAATGGCACATAAAAACAACAGGAAATTTCTTCTTATGTCATTATTACAGATTGTTGAAAAGAGCAGGCACATGGAACAAACTAATTTTTTTGTTTTAATTTTATTGTGGTAAAATAGGTCTAACAAAAAATCTTGCCATCTTAACCATGTTTTAAGCATACAGATTCAGTGGCTTTAGTACATTCAACATGTGCTAGGAGAGCTGGTGACACTGTGGTTAAGTGCTTGGTTGCTAACTGAAATGTTGGCAGTTCAAACCCACCAGCCCGTCTTCAGGAAAAGGACGTGACAATCTCCTTCTATAGAAATTGTTGTTGTTAAGTGCCGTCGAGTCGGTTCTGACTCATAGTGGCCCTGGATAGGGTTTCCGAGGAGTGGCTGGTGAGTTTGAACTGCCAGACATTGTGGTTCAAACCAACTTCGAAGTCCAGTGCTTACCCTACAACGCCACACAGACTTGGAAACCATATGGGCAGTTCTACTTGGTCCTTTAGGATTGCTATGAAATGGACTCAACTCAATGGCAAGAAGTTCTATGTTGTCAGCACCATCTACTTCTATAAGATTTTCATCACCCCAAGCAGGAAGTATGCCTTAAGGACACCAAGGTCAGTTGGCACAACATAGTCCACAGTGAGCATGTTCACCTGCTTCGGTGAGTAGTGAGACTGGGGTCTTAAAAGTTTGTGAGCAGCTATCTAAGGTACAACCATTGGTCTCTCCCTGTTTGGAGGAAAGACGAGTGAAGACAATCGAAGACACAAGACAACAATTGTCTAATGGACTCATGGACCACACAAACATCAGTCTCCAGGATCCTGAGACCAGAAGAACTAGACGATTCCTGGACTCTACTACCAACTTCTGTGAAAGGGATCACATAGAAAGTCTTCTTGTTGTTGGTAGTGTTAAGTGCCATCAAGTCAATTCTGACCCATAGAGACCTGGTATAGGGTTTCCGAGGAGTGGCTGGTGTACTTGAACCGCTGACCTTGAGGTTCAAACAGACTTTGCAGTCCAGCGCACTAACTCACAGTGCCACAACAGGTCTTGTTAGAGTGGGAGAAAATATGGAACAAAACTCAAAGTCATATAAAACGACCAGGCAGACGGGTCAGATAAATAAAGATTAATGGAATCCTGAGACTATAGCCCTTGGGCCTCCTTCAGGTCTGGGACTGAACCACCTCCAGGCCTCAATTTTCAGCCAAGCAATACATTAGTACATTGGGGGGACAACAACACTAGTGAGGTACGCACACCACAGACTGGTCAGCCATTTGATATCAAAGGGGCAGGAGTTACCTAAGGACAAAACTCAGAAGGGTGGGGAAAAGGAGGGATGGAAACAAGAGCCACAGAGAGGAAGTGGGATCATGATGTTACATGGAGGGGATCGCAGTCACTGAGATGTAACAAAGGATATGATTTGGCGAATGTAAAACTGATGCTCCGCTCTGTAAACCATCACTCAATTAACAATAAAAAGTATTAAAAAGAAAAAAAGAATTCCTACCTGTCTGAGGAAGGACAAGCTCTTCATGGTCTCATATGAAGGAAAAACAAAAATTGTGATAAAAACACCTAACCCATTGGATTGTTCTGAGAATTTAATCAGATGCCCACACTGGTATGATTTGTTCCTGTTTCCTCCTCAGGTACCGCATGTATCCTGACTACCACTCACCTACCATGATACAAGACTGCATCAATGCCTGCATTCACTTCCTGAAGTCTCTGAACACATATGGGGTGGATTCCAAGCGGGTTCTTGTCTGCGGGGAAAGCGTCGGAGGCCTGGCTGTGGCTCTTATCAGCCAGTTTTTGCTGAATAGGTCTGATCTTCCTCGCATCCGAGCTCAGATCTTGATCTATCCATTTTTCCAGGCGATCAATTTACAGCTGCCCTCCTTTCAGCAGAGCCAAAACATCCCGTTCCTTACTCGGAAGTTCATGATAAGTTGTTTGTGTAATTGTGCATCTATTGACCCCTCCTGGCAGGACGCCATCGTGAATGGTTCCTATATCCCCCCGAAGATGTGGAAGAAGTACCAGAAATGGCTCAGTGCTGACAACATACCTCAGGAATTTAAGAAGAACTACCGGTCCCTGGTCCCCAGCCCTTTTAATGAGGCTGCCTATTTGGAGGCCCAAATTCTTTTAGATGTAAAATATTCACCCTTAATAGCAGAGGATGAGATATTTGCTCAGCTTCCTGAGGCCTTCCTGTTGAGCTGTGAGAACGACATTCTCCGCGATGACACCCTACTGTATAAGAAGAGGCTGGAGGACCAGGGGGTCCCTGTGACATGGTATCACATAGAAGATGGCTTTCATGGATCCATGATCTTATTTGATAAGAAGCCTTTCTCTTTCCCGTGTTCCCTGAAACTTATGAATGCTTTAGTGTGTTATATAAATGGCATACAATAGAAATCCTGGGGCCGTAAGTTGGGTGTGTCAAGTGTGGATTCTACCAGAAGCTGGGTCTCTTGTGAGTTTGGTTTTGTTGATTAAGGAGACGCTAAGTCAGTGTGTGCTTGGGTCTGTTAGAGAGGGTAAGAAGTGAACTTCATACTCAAGAAAACCCAAAATGTCTCTGATGGCCCTACCAGCTATCACAACGTTTAATTCTGTACTTAACAGCATTCTGTCACATTCTCAACCAGGTGAAAGGGATATCAAAGAGGGGGGTAAATTCCTTAAATGATGTCTTAAAGCCCTAACTCATGATGTTTGTAAAGAATAAATGCCCATAACTGGTCATACTGTCAATGGTGAGTCTATATACACACAGTACCAAGTTGGCTTTGTAAGGTTGGCTCCAGCATGCCTGAGAACTGTGGTCGCAATGAGATCCTCCTCTAAACACAGTCACCCATGGGCTAAACTAAAGGATGATTCCAGAGAAGATCGTGGGAAAGAGGGAGACAGGAGAAGGGGGAGGGGGAAGGGATGGGAGGAGGGTGAAGAGTGAACTCCGGAGGGCAGTGTGCTTTGACTGAACTCAAGTCTTTAATTTATTCTGACTTCCAGAAGCTAATGAGCAGATACTAAGAAGAAGGTTCTCAAAGCCAAGGCTGCTTGGGAATCTCTGGATGCCATCTGGGACATGGGAACTGTATTCCTAAAGGAGTGAGGTGGGAGCTTGCTGTCTTTGGTGACTTATATATTGCTCCCTCTTTCCCAGATCACCTGGCCCTTCTTCAGCTAATGCCACTTTGCGGCTCACAGAGAATGAGAAGGAAGCCTTTGCATTGCACGCTGGGGGTAGCCCACATTCCATCTTGTATCAGGGTCTATGTTTGCACTCCTATAACAGCAGTGGCACTCACTGCGGCTTTGTCCCACCCAAGGGCTGAAGGATGTTTTTTTTTCTGTGCAGCCAAAACCTCTCTGGGTGTCAAGAAGCTCACTTCTGATTGGTGGAGAAGGAAAGGGCAGGTATCCATACAGGCAATGTGCACAGCGTTTCTTGGTGGGGACTGGGTCTGGACATACATTGTAATTCATGCGTTATATGCAAACTGAATCTAAACAAGAAAACCCCATTACTAACAAGTCAATTCTGACTCATAGATCCTTTAGGACACAGTAGAATGTCCCATGGGGCTCCCTAGGCTGTAATTTGTACAGAAGCACAAAGTCACATCTTTCTCCAACAGAATGACTGGTGAGTTCAAACCACCGACCTTTTGGTCGACGGTTGAGTGCTTTAACCACTGTGCTATCAGAGTGCTCTTTGTTTTGATGGGAGGATGTATTAATAACTATTGCTGTATAATATTGACACAAATGTAGTGGCCTAAAACAGCATACACATTATTCACAGTTTCTGTGGCCCAGAAGTCTGGTCACAGCTGAGCTGAATCCTTCTTTGCTATCCAATGAGCCTCAGCTGTATTCTCTTCAATGAGGTCTTGATCTTAGTCCAAGGGGTAGTGGCTATTCCTTATGTATGTGATTCTTATGTTCTTTAGCGTTCTTCATGTCTTTCTAGCCAATCCGTTGTTACTCTAATCATTTGTTATGTTGTTCTTGTTCTTGTTAAGTGCTGTTAAGTTGGTTCAAGCCCCCTTGCAGTTCAAACCGTCCTTGCGGTCCAGTGTTGATCCTTCAATGCCACACCAGAACTCTGTTGTAGTTAATGTTTGTTGTTGTTAAGTGCTGTTGAGTCAGTTCCAACTCAGAGTGTCCCAGTATAGAGTTTCCAAGGAGCAGCTGGTGGGTTTGAACAGCCGATCTTGTAGTTCATAGTTCATTGCTGATCCTACAGTGCTACACCAGGAGTTCATTATGTTGTTGCTGTTGTTGTTAAGTGCTGTTGAGTTGGTTTTGACCCATAGCGACCCTGTACAGAGTTTCCAAGGAGCAGCTGGTGAGCTTGAACTGCCAATCTTGGTGTTCAAGCAGACTTTGCATCCAGCGCATTAACCCACAGCGCCACACCAGGACTCTGGAGTTCATTGTTGTTGTTGTTGTTAGGTGCCATCGAGTCGGTACTGACCGATAGCGACCTTATGAACAGTAGAACGAAACACTGCCTGATCCTGGGTCAACCTCACTATTGTTGCCACGCTTGAGTCCGTCGATGCTGCCACTTGGTCAATCCATCTCGTTGGGGGTCTTCTTTTTCTCTGACCCTGCACTTTACCAAACATGATCTTCTTCTCCAGCGACTGGTCCCTCCTGACAATATGTCAGAAGTATGAGAGACGAAGTTTGGCCATCCTGGCCTCCAAGGAGCACTCTGGCTGCACTTCTTCCAAAACAGATCTATTGGTTCTTTTGGCAGTCCATGG